AGGGGCTCCCGTACACGGATGTGGGGTTTCTCTGTCAGGGCTGCAGGGGAGAAAGGCAGGTGCCTGGGCTCCAGGGGTGGGGACTCAGAGCGGGACCCTGAGAGCGGCCCTGCCTCGGGCTGAGCTCCCCAGGCCCTGTGTCCCTTCCCACCACCCAGGGCCCACGGCCTGGACAGGGAGTGTCCAGTGTCCTGTTCCTGCTCTAAGACGGGTCCCCTGTCCCTGGGTCCTCTCCGGGGCCCCTGTCTTACCTGTCGCCTGCAAATCCAGCATCTTCATTCGGTAATTATATCTCACAGAATCTCCTCTCTCCATTCGGAAGACATAGTGTCCTGAGTCGCTCCTCCTGGCGTCTGTGATTTGCAGGGAACAGTTGTTGGTCATGGGGTCCGCGAGGAGGAAGCGGCCTTGGGTCTCTCTCCTCACTGTTTTATTCCGGTTGGTCGAGGCCACAGGAGCATCACGGTTTGTGTTGTCCCGGTCCCGGTACCAGTAGGTGTAGAGGCTGCAAGAGGAAGACCACGAACTCCACGGGTAGGAGAAGGAGCAGAGCACGTGGACACACAGACCCTCCTGCACCGTCACTGATTCCTGCACATGGATCTCATAGCCTGGATGCTGCTGTTGCAGGGACCCTGGGGGATGGGGATTGAGGTTCTGATGCTGCCCTCGCCCCTCACCCACCTGCCCTGCACCCCTCTCAGCCCACTCACCCCCCCACAGCAGGGGCAGCAGCAGCAGCAGGGGCACCATGTCTGCCTCTGGCAGGGCAGAGTGGGTCCCGGTCCCTGTGTCAGGGAGGGAAGTGCCCAGCTCTGGGGTGGGGCCTAGGACACCCCAACAGGAAGTCCTGGCGGAGAGACTGTGGCCAGGCTGGAAGGGGAACTTGGCCTCCATAGGACATGGGGGTGTGGTGACTGAGAAATCTTCCTGTCTCTTTCTCTGCCCGCCCCCCGCCCCCATCGGACCCTGCAGGTAAATGTACTGTGGCCCTTGGAGGCTGAGTAGTGTGTCAAGATGTGAATCTCAAAGTGACCCCCTTGCAGAGGATGTGTAAGTAGGGAGGGGGGTCACCCAGGGACCAGCACACTCAGAGCTGGTCCTGATGATTCCGGGGGGCCCAACCTCCAGCTGGAACTGTCAAACATTCTGGAAAATGGTAATTATGATATTTTTTTAAACCAAATGCTGGCAAAAGAGAGAGGAATTTAGACCCAAGTCCAGTGGAGGGTGGAGCCCAGGGGCAGAGCTGAGTGGTAAAGGCCTTTGCTCTGAGGGCTTCTTGGGGACATGGGACGCACCTGTGTTGGCTCGAGGGTCTGAATGTCTGAGGGACAGCGAGGGCGCACACGGCCAATCAGACACAGATGCCCCATTTGGCGGGACCTCAGCACAGCAGCAACATTGCGCCTGAAAGCTCATGAAAATCCACCTTCCTGGCCCCTCATCGCTGGGTCCCTTTTCAGAACCCCAAACAGGCTGACGGGAAGTGTTCCCTTTCTGCTCCATCTGTGTCCCAACCGAACCCGGGCATCACAAACCCTGACATTCCATTCCCACTGCTGGAGCACGTAGTGGGGCTTCTGTGTGCTTCGCTGCCCTTGACTGATGGAATCTCAAGGGAGGAACCAGTGAGCGAGGGGGCGGGGGGGATGTCAAGGGCCTTCAAGATAACCTCACAGTCAGCTAGGCATGCAGGAGGCTCCCCTGGCGGGATACAGGTCGAGCTCAGCAAGCTCCATACCTAACGCAGCAGCACCGGGTCTGAGTCCAGCAAGGCAAGAACAATAAGTAAAAGCTATGAAAATTCCAAAGAAAATCAAGCTGACTTTCTCCATCAAGAATTGTGTCATCATAGAAAAATCCACGCGTACATACAGATGCATGTAGGGGCTTGAGAAGAGAGTCAGCAAGGTTTCTAGAGAGAAAATCAAATTGCAAAACTCAAATGCATCCGTGTAGCACAGTGACCAATGAAACATAAGATGGTATAAAAGATGTCATGGACACATCAAAACTTACATCATTCCTGGAATAATCAGAGATGCACATCACAAAAATATACTATGCAGTTCCTCAGTGGAGGAAATGATACATCTGTTTGGGAGGACATTATAGGTGTAAATAGATAGTCCTGGCCGGATGGCTCAGTTGGTTGAAGCATCGTTTCTACACCAAATTGGTTGCAGGTTCAATTCCAGGTCAGGGCACATACCTGGGTAGTGGGCTCAATCCCAGGTCAGGTGCGTATGGAAGGTAACCGACTAATGTTTCTATTTCCAAATAAACTAATGACGAAACTTTTGTGGAGGTGAGACTCACATCACTTTCTGGACCGCGGGCTTACTATGCTCCTTCATCATACCTTCCTTGTCGGTGTAGGAATCTGATTTGAGGTTTTAAATATTAATGCACTGATGCACCAAGCAAAACTCCTACAGGCCTAAGGAGTTCTTTTATGGTTCTTTAAGATTACTGATGTTGAGTCCCTTTTAATGACTTTGTTGGTCATTTATACATCATCTTTGGAGAACTGTCTATTCAAGCTTTTGGCCATTCTCCAATTGTGTTAATTTGGTTTCTTATGCTGTCTTGTATGAGTTTGTAATGTCTCTCTCTTCTCTTTTCTTTACTCTTTGTTTGTTTGTTTGTTTCCTTAATCCCCACCCAAAGATATTTTTTTCATTGAATTTAGAGAGAGTGTAAGAGAGGGAGGGAGGTGGAGGGAGAGAGAGACTTCCAGCTTCCAGGTCTGGAGCAATAAATCCCTGCTCTTTATAAGCCTCCAGTCCATGGTCTTTTGTTAAAATATCTGAAAAAGTCTAAGACATACGACCTTTTATTTCAAATATATTTTTATTGATTTCAGAGAGAAAGGGAGAAGGAGAGGGAAATGGAAACACCAATGATGAGAGACAATCATTGATCAGCCTCCTCCTGCGGGCCCCACATTCAGGATGGATCCTGCAACCAGGAATGGAACGGTGATCTCATGGCTCATAGGTTGACACTCAACCACTGAGCCAGGCCAGCTGGCCATGACCTTTATAACGCTATTATCCATCAATGGACATTTGGGTTGCTGGCTGAGACCCTTTGACTAATGTGAATAATGCTGCTATAGATATGGGAGTGCAGGTATCTTTTTGAGGTCCTGCTTTCAGTTCTTTTGGATATACGCTGAGTAGCCACATTATTATGAATGGCCAGATTATTATGACCACTGCATCAGTACAATGAGGTGAATTATTTATGCAAATAATAATAATAATAAAACCTTGAGAATATTTGCTTAGGAAGCTTTCAATATTCTGTATTTTTGAAAGTCTCAATGAAGTGCTGATGGGGTGGTCATAATAATCTCACAGGTCATAATAATCTGGCCACTCAGTATATAACCTCAAGAGGGGGTGTTACATGTCATGGTTGTTCTATTTTTAATTTTTGGAGGAACTGCCATATTGTTTTCCACAGCGGGTACACCCTCTTACAATCCCACCAAAAGTGCCGAATGGTTCCAGTTTCTGCACATGCTCACCAGCGCTTGTTATTTTCTGTGGTTTCATTTCTTAGTGGCCATCCTAAAGGGTGTGAGGTGATCTCTCATTACAGTTTTTGATTCATGCATTCCTTGGTTGTTTGTTGTATGTGCCCCGAACAGGATGAAATCCGCAAACTGGGTCTTTCAGGAAGACACTCACCAACTGAGCCACCAGCCAGGGCTTTCTTTTGTAGTTCTTTCGTTTTACTGATGTTGCCTCTCTCTTCATGAATTTGTTGGTAATTTCTACATCACCTTGGAGAAATGGTCTATTCAAGATTGTAGCCCATTCTTCAATTGTGTTATTTGGGTTTCTTATGTTGTCTTGTGTGAGTCTGTAATATATGCTGGATATTAACTCCCTAACACATGCATTTTCTCTCCCATCCTGTAGGAGGCCTCTGGAGTCTGGTGACAGAGTCCTTTTCTGTTTAGGGTTTGAAGTTGGTACAGTCCCACTTGTCTATATTTGCTTCCCTTGTCTGTGCTTTGATGTAAATATGCAGGGAATCATTGCAAAATCCAATGTCATGGGCTTTCCCCCTATGTTTTCCTCTAAGAGTTCTAGAGTTGTGGGTATTCTGTTTAGGTCTTTAATGTATTTTTAGTTCATTTTTGCATAGAGGGAAATGATTCTATGATGGAAACCTAGAACTGCATGAAGGAAGCATAACTATGAGGGTTATTTTTCAAAATAGTCATTGTTAACCAGAAACAGCCACAGGGCCATTCCTGGTCCAGGGGGAATCAGAGGGAGGTGAGGGGGAGCAGCCCCTCTCAGGGTATCCTTGGTTCCACGGGATGCTCTCTTGACTCAAGGCTGCCCAGGTAGTACTGGCCAGAGGCACCGACTCCCATGGTGTTTTCCTGGTACGTCAGAGTGAGACGAGGTGGGGTGAATATGTCCTCACTTTCAACTTACAGGGCAAGGCCACGCACCTGCGTCTGTCACTGAATGAGGAGGGTCAGTGCCGGTCCAGCACCTGTGGTTCCAGTCCATTTTTGATATGCTCCAGCATTTCCGGGTGCACCCCATCCCTCTGGAGTCTGGAGGCCCCAGTGATGCTGTCCTTGGCAGCTATGTTGTGTCCTCCCAGCGGCAGCAGGGTGAGCAGAGCAGGTCTGCAGGGGAGGAGGTGCCCGTGCACCCAAGAAGTGAGGAGGCCGAGAGCAGGCCGGGAGCCATGCAGGGGTGTGCCAGAGAGATCGATGCTACCCGATGCCTCGTCCACCCTCATGCCCTTCGGAGGGAGTGACTGTGTAACTGAACACCTCCCACGACCCACCCCCACCCCCGAACCCCCTTCATGGACAGATCCCCCACATCCTGGGGCAGAAGAGGCTTCGATGCCAGAAGTGGCAGCAGCAACAGCCACAGCAGCCAAAGAGAGGCAAGAGAAAGAGAAAGTGGGCAGCGG